TACCTGACAATGTTCCTCAGATAAAGCCTGGTTGGAGCGAATAATCTGATGGAGATCGGTGTCCATAAGCTCGTATGCTATGTACACATCATTGAATGTTTCCCTGACAGGGGGTGGAATTATGTCTCTGACTGCAACAACCTACATTTCATAGAGAAAGGTAAAGTGAAACACATAACCCATGCTGCATGTAACATTCAAGCATATACGATACATGATGAAACTCCTACATAGCACTCAGAAATAATAGTTATTAAATTCTTTTTCAAGAAAAATGGCTGTCTAGCCAGTTTAACCAATAAAATGTTTCTTTCTTGGCACAACTATTGGACCAATAGTGTACTATGGCCACCAAGTTTTTCTCTCATGAACAAAAAAAATGCTATAAATAGCAAACAGCAAATTACGTTGTCTAATTCGTGATTTTGTGTTAGTAACATGCTAACAGGTGTCAGATATGTACTCTCATATGTATGTGACATGTCTCATGATTGTTCTAGGATATATCAAAATAAAGAATCAAGTCTTGCTGGGAAAAACTAGCAGTAATTTACTAATTTTGGAAGGAGACTTACTTTTGTTTGCCATATTCCATCCACTAGGGTACAAGGCATATCTAAGAGATTATATGTATATGAGAGACATTGATAATATCAAGTTTTTTCACATATATGAGACGACAATAGTTTCAGAGATCAGCGCCATCCATAATCCACAGATGTGCGTAGTTGGCAAGCCTGCAAAGCCTCCTTTTTATTATTATTAAAGTTCCAACTATTTTTTATGGATGCTACTGTACAGAAACCCAACCCATGAGGCTAATGTAAAAATGCCTTAGAAAGTACTCATCCTTCATACAACTTTCCAATTCCTTAACTTATTTATTTATTTTCTAGAGAAATGGTTCTTATTGGATTTGAAATTTCCTCCCAACTTTTTGATTGTTCATCTCTCACCCCCATCATTCTCAAGAAAAAATGCTCGGTCTTGGATCACCTTTTTGTTGATGAACTCTTCCTCGGTGTAAAGCAATTATGAGTGGTTCCTGGTCTTATCAACAAACGTGTATGACTAGAAAAGGCGTGTTTATTACCTGCAACTTTCAAGGTTTTCTAAGTAAACCCTCTCTTGTTATTGTGTCTATTTACATGCACTTCTCATGGTTTTGTAAGTAAGCCTCTCTAAATGATTTTGCAGTGTACACTAGCTATAAATTTGACATCTGTTTGCATAGGGTTACTGGTAAATGATAGCCGTAAGCTTGGTGTTTTAGAGCTTTCCTAATGGTAATAATGTTTCATAAACAATCCTACATGATGATAAGATAACACTCCTCATTAATTTCATCTTCCTTTATGCTTCAAACCCTTTTACCACAAAGGATTTTGTCCTAACATAAGCCATCCATCATTCACTAGTCGTGACAAAAAAGAAACAACATCTAAGTGAATACCACTCAATCAGACGATTCAGATCCAACATTCCCTCCTTATAGTTTCCAAAGTAACTCGAAACTTTCAGCAAGACTTCAGCTTTTTAGACAAGGCACCAACTTCTAACCCCGAAAAAGGAAAGTATACTTTCATTATCTAAAAAGCCTCCAAATTTTCATCTTTCTACTTCTTTTTTCCATAAAAATGGCAACTGCAAACCACTCTTCTCTCATAGTTTAATGACAAAAACAAGATTGAGAGTATAATGGGAAATTGTGTTAGGTTTATTAGGGATTAAAGTTAATGGCTTCTACGCTGAGGTATCTATTTCGTACAACTTATGATATTTGGACATACTTCAGACTAGCATTGTCGCACATGCATATGCATGTGCAAGAGAGGCGAAATTATTTTTTAGTAAATTTCTACGTCGACAATACATAGTATATCCGATTATAATGTGAGATCTTAAAACCTGAAGAAAGTATCCTTTTATCCTATTGGGAAATATAGTGCTTCTATCACCTGTTAATATTCATATATATATATATACTTGTTTTACAGGAGAATAAAATGGACATGCCGAATGCACAAAACTTATAATTTCCAAATAATAAAACACATATTTACACTTGACTTTTTTTGCTACACATTATTTTTCTTGAAAGAAACTCATAATTTTCATTTGTATACCTTTCAGGACATAAAATATAATGGATATGTAATTCATGGGCCCAAATCCTATATTCATGTCATTGTATGGTATAGAACACTTTAGAAAAGCAAAAAGGATAGAGAAAGTAAAAAAAAAAGAGAAACTTGTTTGTATGATATGGAATATTCTAGAAAACAAAAATGAAAGAGAAAGGAAAAGCAAGAGAAAATTGTCTCTTGTTAAATTACCCTCTTGCCCTGTTAATTATAGTAGAAATGAGAATATGGCCTTTCATTTATTTTTTGACTACCCCCTTTCATTTATTTTTTGACTACCTCCAATGTTCTTTGTATAGTAGAGTAAATTTGGAGATCAATCTCGGAACGGTTTTTCTAATGGGTGCTCACGGGGGCTTGTTAGGGGATGAGAGAGAGAGAGAAATGAATAGCAAGTGGGCCCTCCTGATTTGCACTAAATTTTCTCTCCTTGCTCAATCTCTCTCATGTCCTGGGGAGTGCCCATGGGTACCCATTAGAAAAAACCATCTTCGAAAACCAAAACGATGACTTAACAAAGACATAAAAGTGAATACCACTCATCATAACCGGCATTCCCTACTAATAGTTTCCAAAAAAAATCAATGAAAATTCAGTTTTTTAGAGAAGGCACCTACTGGAAACCCCAAAAAGGAGAACATGATAATCCCATCATCCAAAAAACTTCAAACTTTCATCTTTCTACTTATTTCATCCCAATACTTCAAACCACTTTTCTTTTTTTCCTTTCTTTTTTTTTTTGTTGCTTATTTTATACGCAAAGCTAAACTGATTAAGGAAAAAAGAAAAGAAAAGAAAAGAAAATTAACAAAAGACTATGATAGTAGCAATTGACATACATTTTCATGATCCATGTGCCTCAGCAACTTGATCTCCCTCAACGTCCTCTTCGCGTCGATCTTATTATCGAAAGCATTCCCTATCTTCTTGATGGCCACTTGCTCCCCAGTCTCCGAATTCAACGCCGAACTGATCCCGTTCCAAAAATAAAAAACCAAATTAAGTTAAAAAAAAGAGAGCCTCTTAAGAATCAGAGAGAGAGAGAGAGAGAGAGAGAGTGAGCTCACCACACGATTCCATAAGCTCCTTTCCCAATAGGCATGATAGGGGGCTTGTATTTGGCCGTGACCTCGAAAATGTTGCCGAACATGTTGTACTGGATGAATCGGCCGCCGTGGCTGAG